ATACTAATTTTATCTTCCCCAAATCCAAATGAAGTTAATATTATCCCAGTTTCACTAATGAGGAAATTGCAGCACAGGCAGATTGAATAACTTGATCAAGGTGCACAGCTGTGAAGGGTGGAGTCACAGTTATCACAGAGGTTAGACTTCTAACAGCAGCTCTCACTTATCATGGGTAGGAATTCAAGAAAATATTTGCTTTAGTCTCATTTTCCTTTTGGACAGGTAATATCACAGTATTTACTAAAGAGATGATGCATCTGGTCCTAGAAGTTAAGCTAGTGGTGGGAGGAGGGGAATCCAAGTCCCAGGGTGGTGGTGTTTTCACCCTTGTCTCTTTTGCACATGGCTAACATCTGAGAATATTAGTAAGTTTCAGGATATCTTATTAGTCTCTGCTCTATTTTCTAAGTCATTTATTAGTGAAATCAAATCCCATTGGTACAGAAGGGAACTTTGAATGATACCTTTAGATAGCTTTTTTCCAAATTGGCATTCTGAGTGATAAATAGCTTCTAGATTGTTTTCCTATTGAGTTTCAGATCAATTTTGACTTATTCAGTGATGGTAACCACAGTGTAGTTATATATGTAGGCCCAAATTACTATTATTTTTTGGCCTTTATTTGCCAGAACATTTTCTTCTATGCTAAATAATAGAAATAAATATAACTCCATGTCTTAAAACCAGTGCATAAAAGGTGGCAATTAGTAGTAACCCACTGTCTATTTAGCCTTTTGTTTCCAAGACATAGAACATGCATAAAAGGACTTTGTGTAAGTTTATTCTTGATAAAATTTCTTTGAAATAAAACATTTATATTTAGTGTGAGAAATAATTGATGAGAGAATAGTTGAACATAATAGAACTTGTTATATTCATTCCTATCCTGCTGACAGTAAATGTTACCTTCAGATGAAACCAGCAAAGTTTATTGTTTGGAATAAAACAATGAATAGGGTTCTAATATAAAGAATCCTAAAATTAAGCAAAAGCAGCTATTATTTTGTAAAGAGATAATTTAAGTTTACCATGTGCTTCCATTTTTTAGTGGGGATGATGCATTTAAGTTTTAAGACTTCCCAAGCAAAGTGGAAACAATAGAAGAAAAAGATGAAATAAAGCATATGTAAATGTTGTTTTGTGTTTATAGAACTTTGGATTCAAAGTGTAAGTTTTGCAACTAACCAAACTTTTTATAGTTCTTTAGAAAGAGTAGTATGTTTTCTAGGTTTTTTTGAGCACAAATTCGCCTAACCCATTTAGGGATTAATTTACATGACTAATATTTTTGTTGTGAACAGAATTAATGAAAAAGATTTTCTCTGAATTTTATTAAGCATTCTGTCATTCTGCTTACCTAATGAAAGAATAAGTAGCAAAAATTTGGGCATTGTTTAAAAGGTAATGACAGAACTAGTCAATTATTTTGAAGTGTAAAGAATGGTGAAATTTAGGGAAACGTATTCTGAAATATTTTTTTCCCTTGAAGTATAATGACATGTCCAACTATCTGGATTGTAGCTGTATACCATTACTGGTATAGCTTGTCCTTCCATCGGTTTCATTATCTGTGTTAGGAAAGCATTCTTCTTCTCACTCTCAGATCTACAGTTTCCATATAGATGTACCTCCTTGACATATCTTTTTTTTATAAACAAACTGTCTCCTTTCATTGCTCTATTCCAATTTTGAATTTTTGTGATACTCATGAGATTGCTTAAAAAAACAAACTTTGTTTTGCTGTCAATTAATAAATTCAATTGACACATATTATTTTAGAGTCTGCTAAATGCCAGGCACTATTTTAGGTGCTGAGGATATGGCGGTAGACAAAACAGACACAAATTCTGCCCTCAAAGAATTTATATTCTGGTTGAGGAGGAAGTCCTGTGTATTTCTTAAATGCTATCATTTGAAGCATGGTAAAGAACTTATGGTGTTTTTATAGCAAGCATTTTAAACTCCTAAAATTTGTTTTAAAATAATTTGCTTTGTAGAAACATCCTGTAAGAAAATGAAAGAGCAGAAAGAAGGTTTTTTGTTTTTATGTAAGCGTTGGTGATCAGACCTAAGATCAAGCCATATTTGGTAAAAGTTATTTTCATGAGACTAGTAATTTACTGTTGTTGAGGTTGGTTTTATATCTTAGTTTGATGTGCCCTTTAACTGTGCATCTAAATGGTCCTTATTGGTTTGTCTGAATTAGATATTGGGAAGGCTGAAATTGCCCTTTGCCTGCCATGCACAAATCTAACCTGGTGGCTCTGATATGTGAAGCAGGAGAATAGTGGAAATGAGGATGCATTTGTGCTTGGGGGCTGGATTCCAGCCCCTGTCTCTTTTCTGGAGGCAGTATGGTATGCTGGCTACAGGTGTAAGCTTTGGATTCTAACTGGTTGTTTTCAAAGCCTGGCTCTGTCATTGGTTAGCTTTATGAGGAGGGGCAAGTTAACTTAGGCATCAGTTTGCTCATTATAATGTGAGGAAGATACCATCACCTACTACATCAGATTGTTAGGACTAAATGAGGTTTTGTATGTTAGAAGCATTTCCTACTGTCTGGTCCATAGTAAGAGATCAGTAAATGTTAAAGATTGTTGTTATTGCTGATCATCATCGTTGGTATACTACTACTAGTACTATTATTATTACAGTCATGCATTGCTTAACAATGGGGATACGTTCGGAGAAATGCATCATTAGGTGATTTTGTCATTATGTGAATATCATAGCGTGTCCTTACACACGCCTAGATGTGTAGTCTACTACACACATAGGCTATATGGTACTAATCTTTGGGACCACGGTTGTATATGTGGTCTGTCGTTAACTGGAACGTCGTTATTGCGGCTCATGACTGTGTTTCAGTGGTGATCAGCACATTGAAAAACTAAAAAAATTTAGTTGTGCTTTGCCTTGAAAATGCAGCAAAAATACTTTATTAACCCAGGACTCTTCAGGTCTACCTTTTGGAGTGGGCCTCTGAGCAGAGTTTGTCTTTAATATATGTTTTGATAAAAATGGGTTTGTTTTCTTACCCATTTCTGTTCAGTGAAGCTTAACAAATTTTTACAGCTTTCTAGTCTTAAATACCAAATAAATGTGATTTTGCTGAGGGCCCCATGCCATTACTAGTCATTTTAGTAATAACTCGTGTATCTAAAATGTACTTTGTATAGAAAATACAAATCTCAACAATTTTTCTAAAATTCTTTTAGAAAACATTTTGTGTAGCTAATGGAACTGTGTCTGCTTTAATTAGAAAAGACAGTCATAGTTTGCTGGGTTTGTTTTTTCCCTTGTTCCTCAATTCATTGCTATAATTTATTCTTATGTTGGAAGAGTGAGCATTCTCATCATCATTTTATCCAAATGGTATCTTGTTTACTTTTCATTTCAGTGGTCTGTAATAAAATATTAGTTATTGACATGGAAGAAAATAAAACAGTTTTTAACTTGGTAACAAATGAATTATGTGCTTCTGGCATCCGTTCTAAATAATCATCTGTATGATTCAGAAATTTAAAAATATGAACTCAAATGCCTTCAAAAGTGTGTCTCTGCTACATAGTTTGCTAGGAGGTTACATGGACGTTAAAGTGGGTAAAATATGATGTTGTAAAAATATGGTATAATAAATTTATTATTGGATATGTCTAATGGAGAACTTTGACTTTGGATAATTTGCACCAATAATAACAACTGAAAGGGGGTGCTGTTGATTGATGAATCAGCACGACACACTCCCAGACCTTTTGAGCTTCCTCTTCTACGCTAACACCCTCCAGTGGTCTCCTGTGACCTTTTACATGAGGACTATTCTCTTCACCAAGATGATTTTCAAACGTTTATGAAGTGTTTCTTGTGCAAGGCATGTTTCATAACCTAGTAAGATAAGAAAGTGCAAAATATAACCCAATAATATAATAAAGTGTGACCCTTTCTCTGGGGCTGTGATAAATTTTAGGAAAATGCTGCTATCCATACTCAGAAATATGAGAGGAAATGTTTTATTGAACTATAAGAAAGTAAAGCAATTGAAATTTGTTTTTTAAATTTTTGTCTTTATTCTTAATTCAGAATGCTTCAATTGCTTTCATGGATTTATGGAATATTAGAGCTAAAAGACTCTTAGAGATAATGTTTGAAGTGCTTTGTTTTGTTTGATAATGTTTGAAGTCATGTGCCAAACACTGCATAGCTAGTTAAAAGACAGATGTGTTTATATTTCCCTCGCCTTCTGATTTGTAGCACATTGCTCTGCTATGTTACCATACTGTCTTTACCTCACTTTTCCTTTCTAATTTATTCTTAATTCCGTCCAATCAGGCCTTATCTTTGCCTCTTTTAGATTTTCCTTCTGTCAGTGATATTTTTAACCTGCAAAGTCCTTTCTTCACTCTTGATATTACCTATCCTCTAGGTCTATGCTGTCCAATATGGTAGCCACTACCTACACATGGCTATGTAAATTTTAATTAAAATTAAATAAAATTAAAGTTCTCTTTCTTAGCATCAGTGCCATATTTCAAGTACTTAGTACATGTAAGCGTAGCTAGAGGTTACCGTATTGGATAGCATAGTTATAGAACATTTCTATGATCACAGGAAGTTAGGTTGTAAGCTTTTTGAGGGTAAGGGACCATTTATGTTGATATTAAGAACATAAAATATGGGCTCTTGATAAATGTTTTAGAACGTGTGAATGAGCACATACCCATAGCATGCTTTAGTTTCTTGCCAAATTTTTTGTTTTGAATTCTTCTTTTCTTTTTGAACCACTTTATGATCGAAGAGAAATCAGCAATTTGCTATTTTTCATTTACATATTATATAGGATATGTAGTATATGTATTATGTACCACTTAACATACCATAAATAGAAACCTTGGGGATTTAAGGTTATACAGATACTTTTTGCCTCATCTTCCTTGTATAGCCAATCATTGAGGTAATATGTATTTAAAATGCTTACGTATTTTTTTTTTTAATTTAAGTTATAAAGGTGACTCCTTGATGGTCATTCCTTGGCATGAACGTCAACACCGAGAGAAAGATTGGTGTGAGGAGTTGGAGTGCAGGTAAGAATGAGCCAGCACGAGGAGTCTTCATTTCTTTGTGGGATGGATGAATAGAAGGCCCTGTGCAGGTGGTGTGTGGTGTACGATCACTTACTTGATGGTGGTCCCAGATTGAGGGAGTTTGTGTGAAGTTCCTTCAAAAACTTGGCTTTACTTAATTATGTTAAATTTTTTTATTGATGTTTTAATAGTTTATAACATTGTGAAATTTTGGGTTGTACGTTTTTGTTTGTCCATCACCATGCCTCCCTTCACCCCTTGTGCCCACCCCCGACCCCCATTGTCCCTGGTAACCACAATACAGTTTTCTCTGTCCATGTGTTGGTTTATATTCCACATATGAGTGA